GGGGGGGGGGGGGGGCCTCTCCAAGCCGCCGGCGCGCACCTCGACATTCTTGCCGGCCAGCTGCTGCTGCAGACGCAGGTTCTCCGACTCCTTGAGCAGGTGCTCCCGACGGCCGGCGGCCTCGGTCAGCGACGCGCGGTTGGCGGCCCGCTGCTGCTCCAGCCGCTGGACCATGCGCTCGGAGGCGGAGTTCCGCTCGCTGATCATGCGCAACTCGGACTCCGCCTCGGAGATGGCATTCTGCAACCGGCTGGCCTTCTCCAGCCAGGGAGCCAGCTCCTTCTGCTTGGCCTCCACTTCGATCTGCAGGGGCTTGGTCTCGGCTGCGTCGGTGCCGCGCGCAGGCAGGAAGGGAGGGACGGGAGAGGGCGAGGAGACGCCGGGAGGCAGGTCAGAAGGCGCCGGGACAAGGGGAGGGGACGCTAAATGACACGGCCTGCCGCCGACATACAGGTCAGACTCTCGCGGAGCACATCCAGCTGCTGCTCCTCGGACTTCAGCTGCTCGCGCCGCTCGTCAATCTCGGTGAGGATCTTCTCCACATCCTGGGTGTAGGTCTTGATCCAGCCCTCGTGCGTGCCGATCGAGCGCTGGGCCTTCGAGCATGGGGCGCACGCGCGCGCGCGCGCACACACACACACACACACACAAACACCCGCATGCGCATGCACATGCGCGTACACAAGCAAACGGCCATCGTTAGAAAGCTCACCCGGTGACCATGAAAACCGTCATCACAGCCGGGGCGGCAGCTCGGACAGGGCGCAAGGGCGCAAGGGGGAAATGGACAGCCATGAGGATTGAGCACCGGCCGGGCGGGCCTGGCGCCGGGCTGAACGCACCTTCTCCAGGGCCTTCTCAGTTCGGCGCATCCGGTCGGCCGTGTGCTTGAGGTTCTCCTGGATCTTGATGTAGTCACGCTCGTGCGCCGAGTACTCCTGCCGCTGGCGGACAATGGCCCGGGTCAGACGGTCGACCTCGGCGGTTTCGCGCTCGTGCGCCTCCTCGGCTGCCTTGAGCGTCTGGGCGAGCTCACGGTTGCGCGCCTGCTCGGCCTTCATCTTGCGCTTGATGGTGTCCTACGGGGCGCGCAGGGGAGGCCCGGGGCGGGGGCGAGCATGCCACGGGCGCAATCGACCAAATGCCCCCCACGCAGGGAGAGACGAACAAATGACAGCCCGGTCAGCCATCGACATGGGGGGGGGGGGGGGGGGGGGGGGGCGGAGAGCTGCCTCCCCGGCCCGGACGGCCTGCCAGCCGCCAGACGCACCATGCGGTCCTGCACCGAGTCCAGGCTTTCGCGCGCCTCGCGCACATACACCTCAAAGAGGGCCCGCTGGTGGTGAACCAGCACCGCCTCGTTGACCAGGAAGTCCACGGCCTCCTCGTACTTGGGCAGCAGGGCATCTCGGTCCTTCTCCACGATCTGCAGGCGGTTTTGCTTCTCGGCGCGCTGGTCCGACAAGGCCTCCAGAGCCACCTCGGCCTCCTCGATCCGGCCCTTGAAGGAGCTGGTGCCGATGATGTCCTCCAGGTACTCCAGCAGGCCGTCCTCATGCTCGGACGGGGCCTTCGGCTTCATCTGCGAGATGGACTCCACCTCGCCCTGGAGAATCAGGAAGCGCTTGTGGTCCAGATCAATCCCGCGGAAGCGCAGCAGCTCTGTCACCTCGGTGTAGGTGGACGACCGCTCGTCGATGAAATAGCGGCTCGTGTTGTTCTTGTATGCAATGCGCGACACGACGAACTGCGCCCGGGCAAAAGGGCAGGCGGGCGGGTGAGCAAGCGGGCGAGAAGGAGGGAAGGAGGGCCGGCAGCGGGGAGGGGGCAAAAGACGCGCGCGCGCGCGCGCGCACCTGCGACCCAGGCAGGATGGGGATGGTCTTGCTCAGGTACTCATGGGTGTGGGACGGCTGGCCCGGGAGGCGGGGGCAGGAGAGGAGGAGGCAACAGGGCCAGCATGGCAGGGGCCGACAGGACGTCAGAGGGGGCGAGCAACGGGGGACGGGAGGGCAACATCCGTGGGAGGGCCGAGGAGGGGGCATTGTCGCACATCGACATTGATATCGGCAAAGTGCACCGACACCTTGCAGTACGTCAGGTTCGGGAAGGCGGCCGAGTGGTGGATCAGCTCCCCGAGCTTTCCCTGGCGCATGGCCTTGGCCCGGTACCCGAAGACGAAGAGCATCGAGTCGATGACATTGGACTTGCCCGAGCCATTGGGCCCGACCACCGCCGTGAAGGACGCATGGAAGGGGCCGATGGTCACCTTGCCGGCGTAGGACTTGAAGTTCTCCAGCACCAGGTGGGTGATGACCATGCGCCGGTGAGCGTCGGCCGGGGGCGCGGGCTCGGTGGCGACCGCCGGCTCGGCAGGGGGGGCCGACTCGACAGGGGGGGCCAGCTCGGCGGCGACCGAGTCCGCGGCCGGGGTGTCGGTCGCCCGCCGCTTGGATGGCGGGGGGGAAGACATGGCCGGGAGCTAGGGGGCGCGGGGGGG